TGTGTGTGTGTGTGTGTGTGTGTGTGTGTGTGTGCGTGTGTGTGTGTGTGTGTGTGTGTGAGAGAGAGAGAGAGAGACGTTCACGTACTATTGGTTATTTAAATTTGTAAAAACAATTTTCAATGTTGTTTCGGTCGTGTAATGTTCAGGTATTCAAAATAATTTATAAAATCACACCTATGAGATTGTGTGACGTTCAAGAAACGTCTCACCTCCACGGTGCTTTAAGTTTCACGACCACCAAAAATCCACCGAAGCATGACTGCCGCGTTTTTAGCGAATGTCATTCGCTGGGGAAACAGAAAATTCAAATATTATATACTCATATTTGTGGGATAAATACAACCATGGTACTGTAGCTTTGCATGAATGTTTAGCTAAAGCAAAACATCACATGCTAGCTCAATGTGCTGCGTTCTGAGCTTTTTGGTTTACCAATCATCGGTGTAACATATCCACTGTGTATGTGACTCGCTGGTTGGCGTCATAAATTCCATAAAGTATGACAATTTGGTTTGTTAGTATGACGGGAAGGAAGCTTTTAAAAGGAGAACTTGAAAGTCGGCGACAAAACATTCACAATTTGACAACGGAAGCATGTGGTGGACAATAGTTGACTGTTCCTCCGGTACACAAATCGAAATCGCGAGGGGAGTCTTTTAATTATTGTCACACAACGTGAGACTGTAAGTCCTTCTTTTTTTCAGTTACAAAAAATGGTTGAAAAATTTATTATTCAGCGTGAGATACATACAATTCTTATTTTAATTTAACGCAATGGGACATTCACTCTGCTAGTATGCAGCAGATAGCAGTATGTCCCAATTTTACAAATCAAAGACTGCTGAAACACAAAATTACAGTTTACTTAATTCAGATAATTTTACTAAGACGTCACATTACTTCATAACTTCCGAGTGACAAAAACTCCAAAGGCTGAGCCAAAGGGAAACCAGAATGCTTTTCGCCTACTTCTCTGGATTTGTGAAATGCCAACTGAAAAGATATTGTTAGTTGGGGTTTAAAGTCATTTCTTTAGCTGGACAAATTATGTTGTGCAATTACGACTATTACTTAAAATCGCCTTTTTACCCATAACATCGGGATTTTACTCTCTTGAAATAATAATAATAATAAATAATAATAAACTTAAAATACACACACACACACACACACACACACTTCGTGTGTCTGGAGTGCGGCCGGCCGGCTATGCCGATTGAGATGAGCAGAGATGAAAGTCCTCCGGATTTTCCCGGAATTCCGGGTTTTTCAAATTTTTATGAAAATTTCTCCGGAGAATTGAGGAAAATTTGCATACCGCTTGTCAGGGCTTGTGAGGTGCCTGTCACGCGCTAGTAGAAAAGCGGCGGAAAAAGAAAAGGGGGACAAGGAGGAGGAGAGAGTGGACCTGCAATGGAAAGAAAGTGTTTTAAAATGAGTGAAAACATCAGTGGGCAGGAGGGAAGGAAGCTGATAAAGAGGCCGTGAAAGTAGGCAGGGCCACATGCTACCAGCAAGCTAACGCGCACTCCCAGACAAGGCAAGATGATGCCACTGGCTGCCATCTTACGTTGCCACTCGCTCAACGGAAAAATAATTTTCTCATGATTTTTACCATATACAGGTATCATTATAGGAGATGAATTGTGCATATTTTGAGTTATTTTATTTGTGATTTTTTTTTCGTCCGGACAAGTCTCAAGTCTGCAATGAAAAGAAAAAGATCTAGATATACAAAATTTGAGGCTCTATTTTGAAAATCTATATTATTTATCTTATACATATGATCTATTATTATTGCTGATAGTAAAATATGAGCATTCATAAAATATTTGAAAATCTTTGTCATGCGTTTAATGCAAACGGCATGTGCATTATTTGCATGTAAAAATAAACACATTTAAAAATGCACTAGCACTAGTAAAGAAAACATAATAAATGAATCACTCGTGACATGTGAGGTATAATTCTGTCCAATCATGGCTCTGTGAGGCGATTGAATTTATTTCCATTTTTATTGAAATTATTTATACATGGATTTGATAGAAAAATGTCCATTAGATAAACAAAACCAAAAAGAAAATGTCTGCAACATTCTGAAAAGTGATGATCATTATCATCATCATCGTTCATCATCATGATCATCACGACAACCATCATCAACATCAGCAAACCAAGTGACAGAAACAACCTTTGTACAATTTTACAACTACGGTAATTCATTTGGGCAATTCAAGTGTGACGAAAGCAAGTGTGCAGTCAGTCAGTCTTTTTCTTTGTTTGTTTCCATGCTGTTAAATGTCTATTTTGAAGTCAATAAGTTAAAAATGAAATAATAATCAAAAATAAGCGCCATGCCAAAAAGATTGCTGGGTGAAAATCAAAGTTAGAAAAAACAAATAAAGACAATCTGGAATGTGAATGCTGACGACCTGAAACTGAACTGAGACGATGTGCCATTCATTGAACTGTTGTTGAATCGCTCCAGAAATGTGGAGGAAGGAAGCAAATGTGTAAAATAGCTCTTCATTTGGGAATTTCTTTACTGTGAACATGTGGGAATGTAATCAATAGTGTCCACGATCCCCTGAATGAGCTTTCAATTTGGAATGAATTGAACTGAAACGAGATTTATCGAAAATGGAAACATCATATTAACATTTCTAGCAGTTCAAGAACTTTTATAAAAAAAATGGTCTCATTCACTTGAATCAATTTTTTAAAGGGTAAGTCAAGCAAAAAAAAAATTCTTGACAATAATATATTCTAAAAGACCTCGTTAGTCGAAACATGCCAATCATTCATTGCATTAAAACAGGTGTATTTTGCTGCTTAATTCATCTTCCACCAACACAATATTGATCAGAATGCCTTGTTTAGACCAGTGGGGGAATGTAGAACACTGGAGTGTAAAAAATATTTTTGGCTTGAAGCAGAAAAGTGGAAGTGTGAAAAAAGTGGGAATTTTACAGCACAGAAAACAGTTCCGTGCCTTTCCTGAAGTTTGTGACAATCTGGATGTTCAAAGTGGTGGCAAAATGTGGAACGAGTAGAAGTGCAAACTGGCGTCGAAAAAATATCTCACACTGTTCAGTTAAAAAAAATGTTGTACATCACTAAAATGTGTTGAACCGGGGTTATTTTCGACTATTTGCCTTAAAGATCTTCGTATGATATGTGTGATTTTTTAATTAATGTACATTCGTGTGCGCTCGGACACGAAAATAAAATCTACGGATCCTTTGTATTTTCTTCATTGTACACCGGTCGTACCTGATTTGTCCTGTTAAAGTAACATGTACGTTGAATATTTGCGAGGGAAAGAGCAGAAAATTACACAAGTTTTACCACATTTTGGTCATTTTCAACCAAAAGTTAATTACCCTTTTCAGCAACACAATACATACATTCGCGTGCATTCGT